CGGAATACAGTAGGATCATTGGATTAAATTAATTGTTKAAAAAGTATTTACATTAATTGAAAATATAATTGTTAAAGGTTTTAAGCACTGGCAAGAATAACGTTTTTAAATCACAATAATATAACTAAAAATCATCCTTCACAGAGAATTAATTATAATTAACATTATTTATAATCGAAAAAAAAAACTAAAAAAAAAAATTCTTATGGCTCAAATAGTCAGAATATTTTGTTTAGTTTGGGAAATGGCAGTATCAAACGTCAGTGAAAATTTAAGTATGTATAGTTGAATTACACCAAAAAACAAAATCAATTTTGTTGAAAACTTGTTTTGCGTAGATAAAATCTCATTTTTCCTTTAACATTTTTTTTTTGTTTTACCAGTGTTTTCGAAGACTTAGAATACCTACTTTACTTTTAAATCCCCACCGTACCTACCAACAAACAGATTTACTTTGCTACCAGAATGCTGAAGTAGGAAATCAAAGCATTTTTGCTGTTCTAAATAAGTAATTATGACAGACACAAAAATAGGCACACGTCATTATAAAATTAATACCTGTATTTATCACTCCGCTCAGAATTTAAAAAACATCGATGGAGCTCTAAAATAACTTTCATCTGCTGTTATTTTATATAATACTTATTATGGAACAAAAGCCAAAAGGTTGGATGTATAGTTGGAGCTCAAACTTAATAATATATACACTGCACTTAAAGATATCTAATCATCAGTAATAACTTMATAAGCATAACGTTTGCTGTCATTTTTTAAACTGCATAACACTCATAATATATACGTTGAAACGTTGAGAATAAATAATTAAAATACATGTGTATTTTTCGAGCACAGATTATGCAAAATGTAATAATAGAAAAGCGAAATAATATATACCTATTCATTTTTCAGTTGTTRTTCAATACATAAACAGCACGTCGTTAACGTTAATCCTATCCGGCTGCATTTCTGTTTGATTAAACAAAAGAAAACGGTGGCCAAAAATTTAACATCGTCATTCATTATACATAGTACATACCAATACAATAATACCATAACAACTAATGACTTTATTCATCACCGTGTTCCAGTGTCCTATGAGATATGACCTATATATACTACCACTCCYACACACTACACATAATATATAGGTAACTAGTATTAGGATATTTATTAAAATATTATATGCCTATATCATATAATGTGTCTATTACCTAAACATACTGAATCTCTTAAAATATGTCAAAGTTACAAACAAGGAAGGTCGTTATTAAATCATGTTATTCGTTATTTAATCTTCGATTAAATCAGGCAAATCGTGTAAATATTAAATAATATATAGTCAATTCTTTTGATTTGGTATATGGAACGCAGATCATTAAACATCTATGTTTATTATAGAAATCTAAAATTATTGATGCGTTTTAATTAAACCAAAACGTAACAACACAATAGTTAAATATTTAAATTTGTACCCTTAAACCAAATCATAACACATAATACCTATAGTTTATACGGCTATTGCTAATTGCTATACATAATGTGTACTGGATAAACATGAATATGTTGATCTATATTGTATCCTCGATGTAATAAAAATGATAATCGCTAAGAAAACAAATAGGCATTTTTTGCACGTGGAAACAAAATACTTATCTATATAATATTAAATCGAAGATAGACAATATTTCGGATCATGGTAGACGGTAGTACAGACAGGAACCTATACTGTCCAAGCGCCCCCATTAGACAACAATATAAAAAAAAACACCTGAACCACGACATACCAACTCCCGACGATGGCACACATTTTCAACCACAACGAATAAATCGTCGACCATCGATGGATATCTACATAATTTTTCAAAAACGAAAAAAAATTTCAAAAAATTCATTACCTAGGTACTACAAGTCGGAACTGAAATTTTCAATAATGTATGACTCTGGAGATTAGTGCGCTATAATATGCGCATATTGCCTAGGTATATTATTATTTTTTGTTAGCGATTTACGTATTAAGGTACGTAACGACGGGGCCGAATTTAAAAAAAAAAACAGCGAAAAATACGTCAAAACTCTTACTTGGCAGACGGTAACGGTAGCACTACGGTAAACAATAAAACACAAACAAAAATGTACAACTTTATGTAAAACATGTTCAGCGCGAATGCAAACACGCCATAGTATGCGCGTCGTTATATGGCGTGCATATGCCTAATTTCATTTTAAATTCGTTTTTTTTTTTTACTATTACTATTATTTTATGGTCGCCGTTAATATATTAGGTACCTACCTAATAGTGTCAGGTGTTTGGACCAGTTCACGAGTCACGCTGTCGAGAGGGGAAAAAGCAAAATATCACGCGCTKAACTCTGTTGTACATAGTAATGAAATAGCTACATGAAGTACCTACCTACATAAAAAGTATTACGAGTARCAGCTACCAATACGCGTTTCATGCTTATAATAATTGTACTTTATTTTATTTTTATTACATACCTACTTTTTGGTTTTAATCAMAAATTCACGAACTATTAATACACCTATTCATTTTAAGTGGTTACCTGATCAGCTGAGTGCAGGTATTATAGTTAATTTAATTTCTAATAACATCTATAGGAATCTGGCTATACTATAAAACTGTGCGAGTAGATAAATACATATTACATTTCGTATAAGAACTTGTACAACTGCAGTGATGTGTTAAGGAGGGAACAATAAGTGAGATATATATTATCATCTCCATTTATCACTTATTTGTAGTTAAGACAACAGACTAAAATATAATGGAACCTTGATAACTCGAAGGAATGCCTTACAATATTTTATATTGAAGTTTTTCGTTAGTCGAATTTTTTTTGTACCCAACCGACTCGAGTTATCGAGGTTCCATTGTATATAAATAAATAAAATACAGAGGTGGAGTGGAACCTAATTTCGAATTTATAAAACAAAGTTTGCATTAATTAATTGTTTTAGTAAAATATAATGTACATATAAAATAATAGTTTATTGGTACATACCTACATCCTTAGTCGGCACTATTTCATATATACGTCACAACTCTTGAGTTATCATTTGGTTGGCTATAATTTAAATGTTGTAGATATTGGTTATTTGGTTCCTATTAAGAGTTATAACTATATTTTCATTACCTATGTAGATGAATAATTATATCAATTTTACTTCATATCAATACATAGCCAAAAAGGTAATATAATATCCCTTCAATGATGTAACATAACCTATAGAATTAATAATTTTTTATTTAAATATATAAATTAATAGGTATGTTATTTGTAACTGTAACTACTTATTTTTCTGTGAAAAACTTTCCTGTTAATTAAAATTTCTTAAAATGCTTTTGCTGTATTAATTATTCATCAAAATTATGTTCTGTTGCATTATTTTTCTTTTTAACTGCACTTCATAATTTTATATTGTTAATTATCGGTTCACTTTGTCAAACTGAAAAACTTAAAAACATAAGCTAAGAATTTGGATTGAGATAACTTTTTTATACAATAATTCAATTATTTTTAGTATTTTAGAAACTACAACGATTTAAGTTAGCTTTATGACCATAATTCATACATAAATAAGCAATTATAAGTTATAAGAAATTATGATGGAGTAAATTTAAAAACAGAGCTAGGGCATACCCAGCCTCAATTTTTTTACATTTTTTGAAAATTTAACATATTTATTTTGTTTCAGTTTTAGCAAAAAAATATAGTATATATTAAAATAGGTATATACAAATATTAAGTAGATATTCCTTATACCAAATTCAAACTTAAATATTTTGTAAATTCAATTTTTATAAATTGTCATTTATTGTTATGCTCACCAACAGAACATATAATGTGTTAAAGATTATTAGAGGATTAACTACTTAGTAATAGGTCCCTTTTTTGCCTGCATAGAAGAGTACATAAAAATAAATCATAGAACTTATACTATGTATAATTGCTGTTTTTAATGATTCATTTCTTTTATCTCTAAATTATATGAACATACAAAAAATTGTCAAGGTTGAACAAGGTTATAATAATAATAATWATTATTATTTTAGTTACACAGAATATTAATAATAATTAATTTTTTTTGTACTAGAGGATTAATATTATTTAAATTTGTATGTAGAATGTATGACCATAACGAGAATATTGCAATTTTGAATACAAATAATAACGTAAAACTAAAAAAAAAAAACAAATTAACAGTCTCGTTCAGTCTTAGGTAAATGTTATACACGTCTAAAATGTTATCAAGTTAAGAAAAAAAACAATTACAACCTCAAATTGAATAGGAGCAGTGGTATAAAAGTACAAAATGCGTTAACATTGTGCTTCATTCATTTTGGTACACATCTTTTTTTTTTTTTTATGAGCTTCGATGAGGTAAACATTGAAAACAATTTTTAAAATAAATCAATATTAATTGACAACAAATTTAAAAATTCAAATCATAAAGAGCCATTAAGACATAATGTTAAATTACTAATAACATTTACATTTAAAGGAGAAAAATAAACTATACCTAAAAGAAAATTTAAATCTGTGTACATTTGACGGTGATTTGGTACTGTATATAGGCATACAATTCAATGTCAATCATACAATTGAGATAGTAGATAATGTTTGATTTGGATATTTACATTTATTAAACATACTTTTAAATGTATCTCACAATATTATTGGTAATAATAATAAGTGGAATGATTGGATTTGTACCAATTGATTTGTTATAAAGGGATTTGAATTTTGCAGAATGCACGCAGTTTTCTTACAACTTTAAAGTTGATCATCAAACAATAATAATAAATATTAATTTAAATACATATAAAGTTATTATTTTGAGTGGAACCTTGTTAGTAACTTTATTTAAAAAAAAAAAAAAAACTATGATTTTAATAAAACACCTATTAATAACATATTTTTATACTCTAAAAATGTAAAAAAATTATTATAATTATTAATAAAATATAATACAAAGGATATGAAATCTGTGAACAAAGTTCCTAAATACTGGAATAGAAAAAACTTAATCGCTTCTGGAATATTTTTTGAATAATGAAAGATCATTATTAAGCTTATGTGTTTCATTAAAATCAAAATTAAAACAATGTGGACATGTGAATATTATAATCATTTTATAAAACTAAATGTTTGTTACTAATTATTATTTACAAAAACATATTATTATTATCTATAACAATATTGTTTTACATAATATGAAAAAGGAAGAATAATAATGGTTACTTAATCTCTTAAACTGAGGAACTAGTAAAAAAAAAAAATATAAATCTGATTAGGGAATATGGGACGACCCCTGCCAAACACATTAACGACATTTTATTATTAATTTTGTGGGCCAAATACATCATTGAAAATGAGCCAGTTATCATTGACTAGACTATGATTTAGGATAGACCATTAAGCACTTAAAAATTTCAATGTTAATATGTTGAAAATTAAAAAAAAAAAAAAACTGTACACATTAAATATTACACTTCTATAAAAAAAGAAACAAAGAGGTTAAAGTACTGTTATAAATTATATAAAAGTTACTAAACCCAAAGATATTTAAATGGAGAATACGTGAAACAAACGTAAAGCTAATAAAAAAGAATAATTTGTGAAGTTATTAAATTAACACAAGTTCATAATAATAAAAATACTCAACAAATGTTTAAAAGTTAAATAAAATAAAATATAACATACATGACCCTAATAAACTACAAAACCGTGAATAAAAATTGATGACACATATTGCTCAATAACCATCCTCCCCAGATGTTTGTAAATTTTCAATAATCTGTGCTCAAATTCAAAATGATAGCATGATAACATTAAAAGGCCATACAAAATAATTTTTAATACTTGCTAGACCATTACAACTCTGTAATCTGATAGGAAGTGTCAGGTACAGGTGTAGGTCTCGCAAATGTTGACAGTGAACTGCCACTTATGGTCGATATTTGTGTTTGATCGGCAGAGGTCGGTTCATTTCAGTAGAAATCCGAAGATTCTAGTGTTTTGCATTTACGACTTAATGTAGAGTATTGACGATCATTTGACTGATTAGGTTTGCGATTGTACCCTAGAGTATTGGAATAGGTAGGTACACCGCGGAATGATGGCGGAGGATGTGGTGCACCACGCGCACCTGGATGTTCAAGTGTGCGGAATTTACGGTTTAACGTAGCATACTGTGGTCCAACTTTTGATGGACCGCTTTCGTGCATATAACCACCATTACGGCCATTTAACGTTGCTATACCACTACCCATTCCATATTCATCTCGTGGTCTAAAAATTAAATAAGAAATACAGTTAGTATATTCATATAAGCTTCTAAACTACAAATATTTAAATAACACAAATTGCTTAGCATTTGAATTATCCTACATAATTAACAATGATAGCAAAGCTAACAAAATGTATTTTACATTCCACAATTAATTTACATTTAACTAAAATAATATGTTACAAATAACTCTTTATAAACAAAAAAGAAAAAGATTGCATGCAAAGCATTACATTATTTAAACTTCATATTCACTTTATAGGTAAGTAGATTTTTATTATCTGTTTAATTTTTAAGCCTTAAGTCATAATATAAAAGATATTTAAAAAAACATAGATAAAAGATATAAGACTATTATTAAAAATAAAGGTTATGAAAATTGCAAAGAAAAGTTAGCATARAGAAAGAGTAGAATGGACAGCATAAAGCAATTTTCAAAATGWTAAGTATGTTTAATGACATTTAAGGTAAACTTTAACAGAAGATTCTTAATAAATTAATCAAGTTTAAAAATTTAAAAAGTTAAGAGTACAGAATGTTTAAGTACAGAATTAAATAATTATTATAACTGTACAAAATTGTAATATTTAATTTCATTAAAAATCAAACTTTTATATGAATCTAAATAAATTGTAATTGCTTTTTTTTAGTTTCAGAACTCTTTGCATATTTTTAGTAAATCTTACAAAGTCTTCATATTTCATAATCAAAATATATTAGGATCTATTACAGATGTGTATTTTAAGTTAATTTATAAATTGTTAATATAATTTTATTAATTACATATAAAGCTAAGCTATTTATCCAATAAATTCTATAATATAAACATACCAGCAGTCATACATACAGTTACCAACATTTATAATACTACAAATAAATCATGCAATTAACTATTTTAAAATAAAAAAGTAACTATTCACTTGTTGGTTCAAACAATTGTATCACAGAAAGCTTTTATTTTATTATTTACAATGATGACATCATGCAGTAAAAATGTATATTATAAAACAGCCATAAATACAAATTTAAATTTAAGATTATTTTGTTTTTGTTTTTGAAATGAGAGAAGTAAGAATAATAATCAGAATAAGAAGTCAATAATAAATGCTGGAAACAATTAAATCAATTAAGTAGAAACACAATTCAATTATTAAAGCTAGCAAAAAAAAAAAAATTGCTAAAAAAACTGCAGAAGAAAATATGGTTATTTAAACACATTAAAGATGTAAATATAAGTATTATTTTCTTGGTGTATGTATATTTTAATTCCGAAAGTGTGTACTGTGTACTGATTTTGTCAAGTGTAATTTACTATAGGTTTATTTTTTATAAACTGCCCTTTTTAYTTTGAAAACAGAATATATGAAAAAAAAAACTAATAAGAAAATAATAAGATACCAAAATAATCAAACAAAAACACAGACAGTCATGCTGGGCGGTTTTGAGCGTGCTGAGCAGGCGTCGGATGCGAAATAAACAACGGGTAGTAGTACGACCCTTGGTTTCGTGTAAGTGTAGACATCTGATGTCCATGAGATTGTGAACTACTTGCTGTGGATCCTGGTCGTCCTAGGAAAGGATCTCTTTCTTCTGCTTTAGCATAATCTTGTCTGAAAAATAATAACACAATTAAAATAAATTGTTATTATATCAATTCTATAACTTCTAGAGGTGCATACAGATGAAAGTATTTTGTTAAACAAGCATAAGGCAATACATTGTGGATTTTATCAAGAAATCAACATAGCATAGATCACTATTTAAATTAATTGAATTACAAATTCAATTCATAGAGTATTATACAATATGATTCAAATTCCAAAATGTAAACCCAAAATGAGCTAAAAAAAATATTTAACTCTACACATACTCTTGTCTGTACGCACCATTAAATTAAATTTTTAAAAACATACTTCTTTCTTATGTATATCCATGTGTGAGAATCTAACCACACCAAAATTGTAAAGAATATCCCAGATACTGCACTGGCTAATAACATTAATGCCAATCCAAATCTACAGTTGTAAAGTGAAAATAAATAATTATTAATATATTTTTCTTTATGATGTGAATAACTTACAAGGCAAGATCACAAGAGGCATGTAAAGCTCGATTGTACTGTACGTGTATTTGTCGACATTCAAGTGAAGCAGGTAAAGCAGAAACCATTCTAGCAGCGTTTTCAACATCCACTCTCATTTTTCGTAATAATAATGGCATATCTTCTCTAGTAGTAGAGGGGGGATATAAAGTTGTTGCAAGATGTGTTACAATATCGAGCTGGTAGTTAGTTGCATCTACTGAAGTTGATGCTTGACGTATTGCCATACTAAATGGATTTGTCCGTGTACTACCAGTTGGGTTATTACTACCTTCACATGTTGTGTAGAAAGATAATGTGTCTGGACGCAGTGATGATGGAGTCCAATCACGTTCTAACCATTCATTTGGATTCATACAAAAGTCACCCAATGCCTGCCATAAAATAGTAGAAATATCAGGCAGGAATAACAATTACAGTTATGATTAAATAGAATTTATAAATGTATATTGCTTACAACTGCAGCAGTTAAATAAATAGATGCAGTTAACCAGGATATGATGACAGCAAAAAGCCCAAAAACAGAGAACCTGAAATGAAATAATAAATATACAGTTAATTATTACATATTAAAAAAGCATTTTAAATACATACATGATTAAAGCACAACGAGAATGCCTGGCTACTCCAAATAAAAGAATGACACAAAATACCAATAGAATACTTAGAACACCCATAGTCAATGGCCATCTATAAAATTAAGTTATACGCAATTAAAATGTTATTTAATCTATAAATTATGTAATTTTCTCACCTTATTGTTTCCATTAAATACACATCATCGATAAAAGGAGTCAGATTTACTCCACGTAAAGAATTACTGATACCACGAATATTTGACAATGTTGAAGCTGCGTTACCAATTAAAGTGGAAAGAGCTAATACAATTTGTTCTCGAGCAGTCAAATTAGCTACTGGTAAATCAATGATATCACCTATATTGGTTAGTTTGTCTTGAATATTTACTTGAAGCAATATTTCAATATCTGATGTCTAGAAAAAAATTATTAAAACATAAAAAAAATAATATTAAAACTGTAAGTACTATTGAAATTGTAATCTTACTTGATTTTTAACACTAATAACTAAGTCATCCAAAGCTCTAGCAGATGTCAGAAATTGAACAACTCCATTATGTAAATCGTCATTACCATATAAGCTAACGCCAACGGCACCACTACATAAAGATAAAACACAATGAATATATATTGAAAAAAATATACATATATAGGTACAATAATTACCATGATAAAACAGTAAATATTGCTAAGGTCCATTTGAGCACAACAATACTATGCCTTGGTCGAGGTTTTCGATCACAGCATCTCGTCATAAGATAAATCAACAATAAAAACATTGTAATTATCAACCACACCGAAGGAATAGAACCAAGAATACCAAGTGACTGGAACATAAAATTTGTTATAACCATGATATTTAAATATAATATTATGTTCATGCATCTTACTTCCAAATAAAGTTCACTCCATGGGGCAAACGCGGAGTTCACATGGTGACCACTGACATTTAGATGTGGGAATGAATGGAATAAATGTGCCAAAGCTGGYGTTTTATAGGTAACAACATTCTCTTGCAACATTCTAGCCATTTTTTTGTCTTTTATGTTTATTCTTATACACAAATGTACCAACAATTAATTTTCTATCTACATAATTTATCTGAAAAATAAATTATAAATTAGTTGAAGCAATATATAAAAAGTGTTAAACTGTATTTAAACGTTTTTAAAATATAGAGTTAATTCACATATCACATAATATAATAGGTAAAGATCTAATACATATTCAAGTGCTTTTTTGTAGGTATAATTTATAAACAAATAATAAATATATTATAAGATTAGGATAAGATATTTTTAAACAATACAGAATCTATATGCTATGAATCGACTCATCATACCTAACTATAACTGTTTGCCATAACATTAATAGAAAAACAAAATACAATCAAGGGAACCTACTACTAATGATTATCGTCAATTTATGAGCAGAATTTTATTATATTGTCAGTGTACAAAAAGTTTATAACACTTTCAATATTTTCAGGTACCTAAAAAATATGTGCAATCAGGTGCGCAATAAATCATCTGAGATTTAAGATTTTTAAAAATTGTCAATTATTTATTTTACTTATTGTAGGTAGGTAATTAAATGCAAAATTCTATCTTTACACGAAGCATTATGTATCTACAGTTAAACAAATATTTGTTGTTTTCAACGAAACATCCCATTAATCATATTCATTCAGCATAATAGCATAAATCTGAATAACTTATCATTTCTTGTCAAAAAAAAAAAAAATTAATAATAGGTTTTCAACATCAACTGGTTAATATTTGACAAACAATATAAAGCAAGATATGAAAGCAATAAATATAATAGCAAAATAATTGTTAACACAGGTCTCTGTATAATAAATAAGTTATTTAATACTAACATTATTTTTACTAAATTGTCACCTATCAAACCTGTCACATGGTGCACAATTTTTGTGTTATGAATGAAAAATATTTTAAAATGTAACCTTGACTTCTAAAAATCACTTTTAAATTATCTAAGCAGTAAGCATATAAATAATATAAGAATCATTTTAATAGGTAGGTACATGGTCTATATAAGTAATAAAACAATTTAAATTAGATGCTTAAAATGTTTTTTTTTGTCAAATCTCTACTTAATTAGGTATTTATATCCATAATGTTGTACTTGTACCTATGTTTTAAAAATAAAATCAAGGATAAAATAATTGTAATTTTAATAAAGTGATACCTACCATAGGTATTTTTTAAGGGAAAATTAAGCTTCCATTCTAATTTTAATTTTGTTCTTATGATTATTATCATTAAACCAATTACTTACTTTATGGCTAATTTATGTTTTTAATAAATGTATATAGGTACTTAAACTTCTTTTGAAAAATATAATTACTAAACAATTTAAAAATTGAATTACTATCACTTAGGTAATACTGTTTGTTATTATTATTATTATACATATTAAAAAACGAACTCTTGACACTTATGTACAATTTATTATTATTATGAATGGCTACGAGATAACAAACTTAAGTGGCAGGATGATAATTTTTCACATGCTGTGGGAGGGATATAACAAATTAATAGGTACCACGAAAAGTTATGAAAACTAAAATAATGTTTATTTATTATAACATTTTTATAAGCAAACCAAAATTTAATACTATATTACTATGAGACATAAGTACATTTTTAATATTAATCAAGGTGGTTAACTAGATACATTAATAATTTTTTCTACTTATATAACTAATATTCATAGCTAAATTACTTTTAATCACATACCTATAAGGTCACAGTAATCCATCAACAATTTTAGTATCAAATAATCCCTAAAAAAGGAAAAACATGAACTAGGCAAGGTTTGTTTATTGTAAATATAATATACATATTACTTAGGTACTAGGATAATACTTATCTAATGTAAAATTAGAGGTACCTCGGTAGGCACTTGGGTAAAACAGTAAAAAATATTAATATCAGGCTATAAATTATAAGTATCTAAAGTTATTGAATGATGGTGACAATAAAAAATTTAATTTACAAGTAATTAGTAACTTCAGTTTGATATAGCATGAATTTACTGTATAATACAAAACATATATACAATCAAAATTCAAAACTATTGTTGTTCAAATACAAGGAAAATATAAGTAAAAGATATCTAGGTACCTACCTATGTATTAATAACACTACCTATAACCAGTTTATATTCATTTATGCCAGGGGTCGCCAACAAGCTGATCGTGATTAACTGGTCAATATTTAGAGGAATATTGGTCGATTGTATTAAAAATGAATTATACCGATATCCCTTGACCACATACCTGAGTAATTTCAAATTTGAAAACTTTAACACACCTTTACACTTTGTATCCATTAAGTAAAGTATTTACTAGCAAAGAAAAATGTATGGGTGATTTTGGATTTTTTCGAAGGAGAAATAACTGTAGGACATTAGGTATTATACCAAAAATTTATTGTTGTGCTGCGTGTAATAATATAAATAATGGTTGATCACTAGATATCTAAAAATTTTAATACAGCTCATTTGTTGGAAAATGTTGATGACCTCTGATCTAAGCGAGGATCTATGCTAAGTCTGTGGATAGTTTTTTTGATAGGTATTAAAAATGATTTTAATTAACTTGAAAGAGTATAATATGAACCTATGTACCAAAATGTCCCAGACTAAAATAATTCAACACATAAGTATTATGATAAACTTAAAGGGCAGTAATTGGATATGACAAACTGTGAATGTTTATTCAGTTGTGTATCTTGACAACTTATTCTTAAAAATGATATATTTCTGCAATAAAACATAATACAATGGTCTTTAAATAAGAAGATGCTGAATCTATGTATTGTGTTGCCTCCGTCTTATTAACTTAAACATGGTAAATTTTTGTTCTGCAATACTTATCTTGTGTTGTTAGATTTATTATTAGAGTAAATTAACCCTGAGAGTAACCTACTTAGGAATAAGATTTTTTTTTTAAAATGACTTCTTATACTATCTTAGCATTCTAAGCATACTATTTTAGTCCAATGGTTACATATGTAGGTAGCTTATATATTTTTAGGTACCTATGCTAAATTGTGATTTTTAAACAAGTAACGTATGGTAGGTACACTTTTTTTAATACCAAACCAGTTTGATTGCATCATAAAATGTCAAAGTCAACACATAATATAAACACATTATCAATTCATATTTATAGTTATCTGATTAATAATGTTTGGATGAAAAAAAAAACAGTCGCCTCCTTAGATAAGTAGCCTAATCCTAATAGAACAATCATGTTATTTTATTGACAGCCAATAAACTACCTACCTACCTACTTCATGCAAACACAATCGATTAACAATTGTGGATTTTAAATTTAAAGAAAAAAAAACAATATTTGAACACTCGTATTATATCAGTCAAGCAGGCACTTGATTGATAATTTTTAGTTGGCAAGTAGGTAAATAGTGTGAACAACAATATCGCATAGAAATTATTATTAGGTATACTGAAGAAATTATAGCCATTATTGAAATGGCCGTCTCACCGACAGGTATACTTAAAGCAGTGCTGTAGTAGTGAAGGGTATACGGTGGTATACGCCGTATACTTTCTGGTTATTTCTAATAAAATCCGTATACCTTCTGATTAAGGTCGTATGCTCTCTGTTGTAGTGAAATTACCAAATAATATAAAGATAAAAGTCATTAGATTATTATTAATATTTTTGATAGAAAAACTAAGAATGTTAAGAATCACTTAAGATAGACAATTTGTATAAAACATAATTTATATATATGTATATGATTAAATATATATATTGGGCGATTGACGGCAATGTACTGTAGACTATTTTTCAATAAATTTATTTAGAAAAAAATGTTTAKTTTTAATTTTAATTTGCACAATTGATGTATGTGTTGTGTTATTTACCCTCTACCAAAGTGATGCCTAATKATAGTGTAAATGTTTAATATTATAACTCATAGTATACCCTCTGCTTTTTTTAGGACTACARCACTGTTTATAAGAAATTTGAACGAYCGGCCGTACCCAAGTAAAAACCAGCAAAAACATACATGACATGGGTACCATGGACAACGAGCAACGAGCACATACATTCCCAGGTGTACAGGTCGAGTGTCCACCCAGGGCCGTACTAGTTTCCAGACTGACAGTGGGCGGGTACACCCAATATCCTAGGCTAGCAGGGAACGGTCGTCCGGTGGTTATCTCATCCGCGAAGGACATAAACGACCAGGAGACCGGACGGKACGACGGTACAAAAGATAACTCACCCATGGCGTGTTGGACGACGGCGATGGGMCCGCTTTTGTTGGCAGCGGAAGCAAAGTCGGATGTTGTCTACSAAGACGACCGCGACAACGCCGGCTAGGACGACAACACTATCATCGGGAAACGGCGGCGTGGAAAAACTCGGACGATTGGAGTCGGCGACGGYGACACGCGCACGAGACTGGTTTATCGATCGACAAAACGGGCGCGCGTAAACGTCGTCGTCCGACCGCGGAAGTTGCGACTGTGAGATAATCGCGATTGTCGTGTCGAGGCGGCGTCGAGCTGGTGGTAGGGAAACAAACGGGACGACAATCGACGAAATACTAATTGTCGTCCGAGTACAAACCGGAGGGGAAACGAGACGAAAATAATAAATTTCAAAAAAAAAAATCAAGAAAAAAAAAACAATAATTAACAACAACAATAATAACAACAACGCGACGGCGGCGGCGGCGGAGACGAACGAGCCTGTGCGTTAACCTAACCAGTAACCGGTCGGCGGCGGCGGCAGCAGAGATGACGGACCGTCGGCGGTACGTGTTGTGCAACGCGCTACGAGCGGACGTTGCCGGAAATGTCAATTGTCGCGTCGGCGGCGGTGTCGGACGTCGGTGTGTGACGCCATTTTAGAAAATCATTACGACGGGTTCGGGGGCGCTGCGCTGCGCCGCTGCTTTTGCTGCTGAGTACTGACTGCAGACTGCCTGACTGCCGTCGCGGTCCCGGTGCTCGGCGCTCGCCCGGTCCCGTTTGCCCGTCGCGCAACGGTGCTGCCGCCTGTCCCGATCCGGCGTTTCGTTGATATTTCACAGGGTCTACGCCCTAACGCGCCGCCGACGACGGTCGGTCCCGCGCACGCATCCCCTGCCGCCCCCGATCGTCATCGAACCCCTTGGATTTCGAAATAGGTACGCGTTTTCCTCCTCTCGCTCTTTTCTCCGCCACCACAAAACAACTATTGGCACACGGCACAGTCGACGGCCGCCAAAGACGCACATTTTCAGTGCGTTGTGTTATTAACCGTCAGACGCCTTTACAATAATTGCAAAAGTTCCTGACGACCGGTTTTCGGTCGTCGAGATTTTGAAATACGTAATTATTTTTCCCGGTTCGAATCACATTGGCAATTTGGCATACGTCCTACGCCTACAAAACATATTATGACGACGTATAATATTGTAATATTATTATTATTATTATTATTATTATCATTATTATAATAGTACTATGTTGTATTGCCGCGTTTTGGGATGAGGCCCTGACTGAGGGGGACCCTTTTATTATATTATCGTTGTGTAGGGAACACACGTTCGTTCGCATACAGGAAATAGTTATACAGTGGGTACTCACCTCTACAGTCGACGACGTCACCTATATACATTAAATATAAAATATATTATTTACACTTAAATGTTGTTATGCTTTTTACTTACTTCCCARCGTGGAGTCGTCGAAATAATAATATTTAATCATCTAAAACTTTATTTTATTTAAAAACTCGGCAATTCSCTCTGTCCGCTGTATTTTTTTCCGATCGCCACGAATTACGAATAGGTAATAGTTTTATGCCTACCTATGTAGGCAATGAAGCAACAACAAAAACAATTTATATATTATCAAATTAGTGTTTTAATCAGTGTTTCAAATGTTTTAATAATAATCAATATCCTAGATGCTTATAATTATGGTTTAAACGATGCGATGCTTATTGTCAATAATAATTGTTTTCAATTTATTTATATTTGATTAATACTACATATACTAGTATAATTATAATAGTGTCCACTGTCCAATGATTAATGACTTTACGATAATCTTGGTGACTACTGACTTGGCTATTAATATACTATAATATTAAATTTGTTGGCTTCTGATAAMATTATTACTATTAGATAAGTAAGGTATAATAAGATTGGTAAGATCATAATTCATATAATTAATTTATTATCTAAATATCACGCGTTGATGACATCATTAATCAAACGAAGAAATGGTGAAGCATTCTATTGTAAATTTATCAATTGACGGTCAGTTTTTTAGTTCTCATGCAAACTATTAAATTATATTATTGTATCTATGTGATAAATCATCATTATGAAAATTGGAAAACTATTTTTGTATCAAGTTAAATGTACTAAAATTAATTTAATAATTAATATGTATAAACAACATACAACAACAACTTATTATAAAATCTTAGATTTTCAAACTTTTTGATCAATCAAACGTTTTTTCAACTTTTGATGAATAAAAACACAATAAAAAAAACCATTTCTAAAAATACTTTTTAGAACATTTGAATATTTCTAATATGTTATATACCCTTTATTGTTCGTTTTCAGTTAAGTTTAGTTAAAAAAGTGGATGAGTGGATGTCACTCTGCTAAACAGTAGGTTATAACTTTATAAGTGGGTTACTGTAATGGATAGTATCTATTACATTTGAATTCAATAATATAAATTATAATTAATAATTACATCATTGTATTACGAAAAACGATTCTGAGCGGAGACGGTTTGTCAGTCTAGGAAAATGTATACTATATTAATTATATTATTAGTATTTCAAAAAAAAAAATCCAAATTAATCAAATCAGATTCATCATGTACCAGAGTACCGACTCACTCAATTATACATCATATTATGTATTCATAGTAATTTTATATACACAATATTATACTCATCTAATATATGCCACTGCCGTAACTTCACCGACATCAGAGCTAAGCTCAACATAGAAGAAAACCTGGAAGAAGCTCTAAGTCCTCAGCYAATCAACATTGAAAAATTAATTAGTTATTTAAAACAAATTAACCTTTACCAACTAATTTAATCTAGATATATTTCAATCCTTTTTTTTCATACTATTTTTATTGTTATGTATATATTATTGTTAAGCTCCGTTTTTGTGTAAAAAAATATTAATGCTTAAGGCCATTAACCTTTGTTATCGAGGCTCAATTAAAAAAAAAAACCAATATTATCTTATTAACGATAAAATACAATAAAATTTAAAAAATTATAAAACATGTTTATTGTTTATAAACGTTTTGGCTCTTGAGATGTTTGGCCTTCATGTTGGYCACCACCGGCTCCACTGCTATTTAGTGTAGTTAGTATGAGTCATTAAATATATTATAACTATTTTAATATTAATTGGAATATAAAAACATAAAGTATACTCTAGAAATTTCAAGTACTAATAAATAATATTTTTAATTTACAACAATATAACTAAAATTGTTATTCTTCGTTATTTAATATGTAATTTCGTCAAAATGTTAACTTAAAATAACTAACAAAAAATTCCTAGCTATAAAAGTTGAACGTTTTAGAAATTTTTAACTACTAAATAATCTGTACATTTTGTCAAAATTTGAACTTTAAATGGTTAAAAAAAATRTGCCTATACATTTATAGAAAACAATTTAAAATGTAAAATGTCGTTAAACAGCTCAAAATAAGTCAAAATATTTTGAAAATTTTAAAATTTATCAAGTATAGGAATTAATAAAATGAACATATAGTGATGTATATTTCAAGTTTCGTGCAGTTATTTGTTTTTGAATAATAAAAAGTATTAATATCGATATAACATATAAGAGAAATTGAGTAAATATCCAATGTTGTGAAAATTTGAAATTCAAACGCTTATAAAAATTTAATTTGACTTTCCGCTAGACATTTTTTATTTAATAAAAGTAGACAAACTTATAAAAATTTTGTATTGAATTTAAAAATCTTAGATTTAAAAAGWTAAATTTCTATGATTTTTTAACTCAAACAGCAATAAAGGAGATTGGAATAACACAATCTTTTATTTGAGTTGGAACCCCGAGATGATAATAATGCATTAACATTTAAGATCCGTGATAATTATTTTAGACAGAATAAACAACTCAGTTGTAACCTTATAAGGGAATTCTGATAATTACGACCACTTTAAATATTTAACTTTTGGTTTGCTATTTCTATATTCTAAACAAATAATTCTGCAATCAAAATTGTATAACATATAATTAACAATATGAACATTGTTTAAAACAATAATCACATATTATACATATACATGTATTAGTATATGATATGCAAAGACATAATAAATTTAYAAGATGGCTACATAATAAAAAATATGAGTAATATTAATAGTATTATAAATTATAATTATTTTATAAATATTAAATACGAATATGATGGTAAGGACGTAATATAAATATATAAATTAATCTATCATACTTCATTTTCGACATTTTCGTAACAATTTATTTGTCTATGTGAAACGAAAAATTTGAATTATTCAGCAATATCTTTATCATGTGAATTGAATTTCTGAGTTATCTATTAACATTTTACTAAAAATCTAATACGTAATGAATTATAAAATGATAAATGACTAAATAAGCATACACATATTTGAATATTTCTTAGTCAGCATTTACCACTGAATTTTTGATTATTGTTAGAGGCAGAAAAAAGAATATAATGTATAAATAATAACTATGCTTATAATACATACATTTTTTTACATTCTTCATCTATAGAGTCTAGACTCTAGATCTAAAAAAAAAGTTTAAAATTATGTTTATTTTGTTTTAGCACTATTGTAGTAATATTATTAATAATATATTAATAATAATATAATATTAATTAGTAATATTATTAATAATATTACTGCATTATCATTTTAATATAATAACACATGAATACATTATACATACCTATGMAATTAAGTTCGATATTAGGTCCATACATTTTTAGCTAACCCCTACTACTTACAGTACCTACTTATTTGTCCAAAATTTAAAAATAATTATTAYTTACGTATTTTATTTTTAGTTAAGATAACCCAAATAATGGTATTGAAAATCTGTTCAGTTGGGAGTGTTGGGACAGATTTTTTTAACTGTATGAATCAGCTCATTCAGCTATATACTTATGTCTGAAACTGCGTATTGCTGAAAAGTACGTTACGGTTGAAAACATAGTCATATAGATATAAGTGTCACTTGGCATGATAGGTATCCATTTCACGAACAGATACAAAAATAAGATTGTTATACGAAACACAATTACAATAAGGCCGTTATTGGCTAAATTGTGAGACTCTTTTTTATGAAAAGAGGAAGGGGGACACCACTTATAAAGGAGTAATCACCCCCTATGACTTCCAATATTTTCAAATGTACATTAGGCGTTGAGTTCTGCAGAGCACCGTATTCATGCCACACACGATTTATACAAATATTATATCTTAATTATTATGTTTTAATAAATAAATGAATGTTGGAATTTGTCTTGAACTAATTAAAATTTTAAATCACTAACATAACCACGAGTGAAAGTACTTGTTAGTCCATTCTTCAATTTCAATAGTTTATTTTTGTAAAAAAATTCAATGGTTTTCACACTGATGTGCCACAAGCAAATTTTAGGTTTGCAGCAATGTTTTGAAAATGTTTTTTCTTCATAAGTCACAGATAGTATTTAAGTGTGGAATATTATACTAAAATATAACAAATCAACAATTTGTAAGAAGAAAATAATATCAAGCTGTTGTAAGTAAAGATGAATACATATTGTACATATTGTTGGAAGTAAAGATGAATACATATTGTACATATTGTTGGAAGTAAAGATGAATACATATTGTACATACATATTGTCTTATTCTGTGACATATTTTCATAAAATATCGATTCTATTAA